CGTGAGCAAGGAGCTTGCTTTTCTTGACCTGCCTATGAAACAGGGGTTGCAAAACATCGTCTGCAGGAGTTTTCTTCATGCCTGAGAGGACGGTATCCCAGTTACGCACGAATTGAACGAGATTCTCGTTGAGCATAACGACATTAAGCAAGTCCTCCATGTCGTACACGGACCCATGGAGTGCGTTGGTCGACAAATAAGCATTAAGCTTATGTAGGATTTGACGCCCACGAACAAGCCGTCCCTCGTGTCCTTCTCTCTCCTTGAACGTATCAATCTGGCGAGCAAAATCACCTTCCAGAATGTTTGTGATTGCGGAGAGAATCTTTGCATCGAGCGTTGTGAATCCGCTAGGATCACGAAGGGACTCCTCAGTGGTGTCATCTTTCCAACCTTCGCCGAGCCACTCGAAAGCCTCATCAGGACGGTCGGAGGCAGCAACAACAGCCTCGCGGGCGCGAAGCCTCCAATTGCGATAATTCTCAGGCTGGGGAAACTTAGGAAACACAATCTTCTCAGCTTCCTTGACTTTGGGCCTTCCCCTCGTAGCCTCAGTTTCCTCCTCATCGTCCTTGTCTTTCTTGGACTTAGTGACTTTCTTAAGCATCTTCAGAAGGTCCTTCTTGGATAGGGCAATAGATGACGAAGATGATGAATCAGATGAGTCTCTTTTCTTTTTCTTCTTCTTGTCCTTTTTCTTCTTTTTCTTGTCTTCGGGCTCATTGCCGTCGCCGTCGCTTTCGGGAGGCGAGTCATCTCCACCTCCACCTGGCGGGCCACCACCCCCATTGGCCAATCCCGGAGGGGTGTGAATGGGATGTTCCACAGGTGAGTGGGTTCCCACTACTGTCGGTGTGTATGCCGCAGCTTCCGCCAGGCGATTACGAAGCTCTGCATTGGTTCGCTCAAGCTTCGTCATGGACTCAGTCTGCTGACGGTGCACCTGCATAAATGCACCCATTTCAGACCTGAGCTGGTTTAATTCACCACTCATGGCTGCCACGGTGTCTTGGCTTGCCCGGCTTCGATTAGCCAACTCTCGTTCAGCATGGGCTACAACATCCGACACAGTGACTTCCGCTTGGTGAAGCTTGATCTTATAGTCCATGGCCTCACGTTGCATTTGCGATAGTTCGTCATTGTGTTTGTTAGCCATGCTTTCGCCGGCTGCTCGAAGCATATCTTCTTGTTGCTGTAAACGATTCTCCGCTTGAACAAACTCCAACCGAAGTTGGGCGGCACCGGATAAGGCCTGGGCATGAAGCTGGTTGAACTGCTCCCTATGCTTGTTGTTTGCATCCGTCATGATCATTCTGTGACGGGCTTCAGCTTCAGCTGCAACTGCTGGTCCTGTGTCCGCTTGGTGCAGATGGACCTGTTGCGTCAGGGTCGGTGCGAGGACATTTTGTTGATAGTAGTTCGCGATGCTTCTGAACTCGCTGGGTGAATACTGGACCGAATTATTTTGTTGAGGCGATCCCGCCAGGGACGCGCGTTGGTGCGCGGGGCTTGACACTAATCCCGATACTAATCCCCATTCTGACACCGCTCCTGGTGCATCCCTGCGTGGGTCTGCTTGGCCCATCAAGGCTAGGGCCTCTGCTGTCAGAGGAACTCCATGGCCACCCTCTCGGGTACCGGGGACACCCTGATCCGTGCCATCGTCTTGGACGGACATGGCAGGAAGAGAATTGAGATCCTCGGTATCGGCGCGAGCCGCGGAAATTTCAATCGCGGGAATACCTGCAGGATTTACGGGAGCATCCATCGCGATCTACAAACGAAGTCCTACGGCTGATAACCTATGTTTACAGGCAGAACAGCCAGAATGCAAACACGCATTTTTCTTGAGCCAATTACACGACGGTACAGACGGTAGACTAGCTACATCTTCCACAAAATACACAGCTGCCTCGGCTCTGGCACTTCGAAGCGGGCTTGGGGTTCCCCCTCTGTCGCTGGCCTCCCCCTGTGCTGGCGTTGTGTGGCCTTCCGGGGTGCTGGGCTGGGGGCAATGTTGTGTTGCCACTCGCCATGGTACAGTGGTGGCCTGGAATGGTTGGTTGCCCCCCGTGCGGTCAGTCGTGTTTGGCCCCGGCTCGCAGTGGGGTTCTGCTTGTGTGCTGTCAATGCCCGGGCTTCTGCTGCGGCTGGGGCTCCTCCCCCTCGTGGTGGGGGGTTGCCGGGGTGTGGGAGCTTTCATCAGGGTCCTCGCTCTTCTTCCTTGCTGCTTTGGCGGGGACGTGCCTTTGCGGGCTCCTTTGTTGGATGTTCATCCCCCCACATACATAGCGAGCTTCTCCCCCCAATGTTGCAGCCATCGCTGGTTCTCGTGGCGGGGTTCCCCCTTGTGTTGTTCCGGGAACGAGTGTTCGAGGATGCCCAGGAGCTGCAAGGCAATATCGTATCCCCTGGTCGCTTCCCCCCCGCCGGGTGGCCAGTGCACGCGTTCGATCATCTGTCTCGCGCAGGCATTGCGTTGCGCTGCCGGGAGCTTCGCGAGCTCGTTTTCGAACCCCTGCAAGAGTTGACACCAGGGAGTGGACCATGTGTGCACCGCCTGCAGCAGCCCCGATGTCTCGGGCCATGGAGGACTGGGGCTGTGTGGGTAGTTCCCCGCTCACATCCCCCCGGAGTGTGTGGTGCGCCCCCTCCACTGCCATGAGGTGGGTGTGGACGCGCCAAAGCTTTCTCTTGCTTGCTTGCAGGGCGTTTGGGGAAGCAGGGTTAGCCCCTACTACCCCTGCGCGCGAGCGCTACGCCATTGTCCGAGCTCTGTCTCTCTCTCTCTCTCTCTTTTCTTTCGCCAGGGCTATGGCGAAGAGGAAGTTCCCCTACGCCGCGCGCTTGTGCGCCCCCGACAGTTGCGGGTGGCCTCTCTCTCTCTCTTCTTCCCCGGGGCGTGAGGGGCGTGCGAGACCCCTCGGCCTTAAAGGCCTCTTTATGGGGTTTTAGAGGGGTGTGAAAACTCTGTGCCTCTCTCTCTCTCTCTCTTTTTTCTTTCTTTCAGCCGGGCTTAGGGGTCGGAGGACCGACCCTCAGGCGTTGCGCCCGCCCGTCCCCCACACTGTATTAGTGAGTGGACGGCTTTTGGGGTAGTCCAGATTAGGCAGGGAAAAACAAAGTAGGCCCCGAGTGGAAAGCAGGAAAACCCCCCGAACTCTAAACACAACACAACCCCCGCCTCATCGCCGCGCCCCTATGGCATTATCCTTAGTTGTGAACTGGTTCGGGGGGGCCTGAAAAAGCGCCGGTCGAATTGCTGCTCCCCCCAGCTCGGAGCAGGAGGGAGCACTGAATTGTGGCAAAGAGGCGGATCAGACTTCGTCACACAAGTGACGGCGTTGCAGCGAATTTGCAAAGAGGCGGTAGAAAACTGCCATATTGGCAAGGTTGACTGAAAGAGTGTAGTATATCTGCGTTCCCCCGGCAGGGTTGGGTTTGCAAAAGTTCCCCCACGGAGTGGGGCGGGGCTCGAAGCAGGGCACCATAGGGAAAGAGGAGGGCCGAAACCGGAACACAACACCCCAGAAAACACCCCCAACAGAAACCATCGGCTCTCCTCTCCCCTCTGGCTCCGGGTTTGACTTAAGCACTGCGAAACGAAACGGCCTTTTAGTTTGGGGCCAAAGCAAGTCAGGAAAATTGCAACGCTCACTTTTGCCACGCTCACTCGGCTGCCCGTCTTTGCCGTGTCATATGGTCTTGAACCTGCTGGATCTGCCATTGTATATTTGGCACCAGCTCCACCGGTCGTCTTCCCCTCCTTGTTACAAGTTGGAGGCTCCTCCCCAGTTTCGCGAGGTCGGTCTTCAGGAAGGCGTGGTGCTGGCTGTCCCCTCCTTGTTGGAGGGCTCCCCACAGGTTCACTGGGTCGTTCTTCGAGAAGGAGGCGGCGCTTGGGCTCCCCCGCGGGTTCACTTGGTCGTCGTCGGTTTGGTGGCTCTCCTACGGGTTCGCTGGGCCGCTGCGCCTCCGCATCTGCATCTTGTGTCGTAACCCCCAGGCCTTGGCCAAGAGCTCGGGTACTTTCTCCGGGAACTTCATCGTGAAAACTCTGTTTTCGGCCGCAACACGCGGCAGCCATTTGTCGACTATACGTACAAGGCGGTCGGCCTGGTATCCAAGGCGGACCCTGTGGGATAGTCTCGCCTGATAGGCGGCATATTCCCCCGCCTGTTGTGGCGTCAGAGGCTCCCCCGACGGTGCAAAGAAGAGCTCCCCCTCGTCGTCGACTTTCACTGTTTTGTTCACCCACTGGTCCAAGGCGTCGGGCGGGAAGAGTAAGTGTAGTCCCCCCTCCGTTCTGAAGGCCGTCTTGGCGTCCTGCGCGCTGTCTCCAGGAGTAGCCATGGGCTCCGGTGGAGGGGTATAGCTGCTATCCCCCACACGGACATTCCTGCGTTCGGTCACTCCGTGCAGGCGGCACTGAGGATTGCTCCGCACGTGCACCTTCCTGAACCCTGGCTGGCACACTCCCCCGCCAAAGCGGCACAGTCTGCACGTGGTCATGGCCCTTGGAGCTGGGCTCTTTCCCCCTTCCAGCTTGATCACGCCGAACTCGGTGTCGGGCACGTTGAGGTAGTACTGCAAGTTCCCCCGGGGTTCCACAGTGACAAAGTATGCTCCGTCCCCCTACTGGCGGGCCACCCTCAGAGAGGGGCCGCGGTCAAGTTCAGGAGGATGCGCAGGCAAAGGGGCCTCTTAAGCAAAGTGGCAACGGGCGGAGGACTCAAGCGTCCGCTGGGAAAGGCGCAAAGGCTCCCCTGAGGCAACAGCTCAGGTTAACCCTGCGCCTCCCCCCCCCGATGCCAAGGGGTGAACAGCCCCAAGACAAAGGGTGCAGGCACTTGAGCCAAAATCTCTCTCTCTCTTGCTTGCTTGCTTGCATGGCGTTGGGGGGTCTCTCTCTCTCTCTCTCTCTCTCTCTCTCTCTCTCTCTGTCACCTTCATATGTGGTTCATACTTATATATCTAAATTATCGGGCTCAGGTCGCTGCGCCGTTGCCCCGGCCTTTGGGCAGCGAAGGCGCGGCCTTGCATGGGACACAAATGTAGGAGCGACGTAGGTATGAGCGACGCATCGATCACTTCCGCTGGTCTTGCAACCTTGCAGAAGTCGACATCGGTCGAGGGCGCATATGCCATATGCTTACAAGCCGTACCAACACGGAACGTGGCAGCTGTAATGGTATCTGCAATCGTGTGCTGGACATTTGTCGCACCGCAGGGAACTCGTCGGAACTTGCTAGTTAACAATACATAACTGCAGTACAGCGGCTGCAGATCGCAATGCTTCGACACGTCTCCGTTCTTCAGTCTCCGTTCTTCAACGCCACATGCGTCCAAAGATGTTGACCAACGTGTCAGCAGACAGCAGACTTGAAGCTGCAAGTCTGCAGATGGAAGGATGCTCAAGCAAAGAAGAAAGGCACATCAAGTCCTGGGAAAGGATCCCTCGCAGAAGCGCGGCCTCTTGGTGATAGTGTCCGAAGCTCGAGGAACTAGAGCTCAGGAAACCCTGACAGATTGCACGGCATGCTCTTCGGATTTCTTTGCGAACTTACAGCATGCGCCTGCTTCTCCTCCACTGCCTGCAAGCGCAGGGTCAAAGCTCATTGCTCCCTAGCCCTGGTCACGTTCTGTGCACCACTTGTCACTTGTCTGAGCCAGAGTCTGAGCTGTGCGCATCTCGAGCATGTGCGGCACGCTGACTCCCTGAGTGCTTTGGTTCCTCGATACGCGAAACTTGCATCATACACATGCAGTCCTAATCTGCTAGTGCTAGGTACGAGAGCTGTTAGGTGGTCTGGTGGGGTGCATGCTCAGCTTTCATTTCTGTGGCATCATCGCAGCCTATGAGCCACACTTCGTGCAGGCTCATGAGCAGTGCCGCGTGCATGTGAAGTCCTTGTCCTCCCTTTCGGGGCGTCTGCGCTTCGCCTTCATGTCCTTGCCCTCCTTGGTGTCTGTGTCAACTGTCCGGGCCCATGGCTTCTGAAACGCATCAGGCAATGCCTGGGCCCGTGCATCTTCGGGCTTGCCCAGCCTTTGCGGCAGTGGGGCCGAATGGATTGCATCCGTTCCTGAAAAGCCGGTCAGAATTGCAAAGAGCGCTAGGCCTCACCTGCTGCACCCAAAGACTTAATCAAGCTGCATGCTCCCGCAATCGACAACAAATCAGATCGCATCCGACAGCTTGAGGTCCCAGCTCAGCACAGGGGAAGTCAGTGGTGCCTGCGTGCTAGTTCTTTTTTCTGAGGCCCGAGATCGCCCGACGACCCCAACAAATTCACTAGAGTTCCATCCATTCGTCACAGCCCTTGTAGCCCACACTCGAAGTGGTGCAAACCTCCGTGGAAGCGGTGGCTGCCGAAAACCCTCGGCAACAGGCTCGAATGCTTGTGTGACTGGGCCGAAGCGAGCCGTCTTTTCGCTCGCCCTGCTGCACATTTGCTCGAAATTTCGTCTTTTAACGTGCATTCGCCCACGGGGTAGGAAAACCGGTACGTGCACGAGCCTTCAAAACACACGAGGGCCAGAGAAGGCACAGCAACGATACCTTGGAACGCGTGCTTTTTGCTCTGCATTCGCCCACAGGGATTGTGCAACTTCGCTTTCCGTTCTTTTTCGCCGTCTGGTCGACGATCTCCCTACGGAGCACGTTCTTACGCTGCTGTGCATCTGCCCACGGCGATTGTGTAGTTGCGTAGTCACGACCTGGAGCTGATGACGTTGTGGGCGAATCCGGTGCGACTGGCCTTGCATTGCAGTTCTGCAGAACATGCCGTCCCATTGTGCTTCTTCGTTTTTTGCGAACCTGGTCTTTTGATTGTTCCAGGACATGTGGGCCTGACTGCTAGAAACTGCTAGATAGGCACGCTCAAAAAGACAAAGAAACGGCCACAAGTCACTCATCAATTCCGTCTGTTTGCCTGTGACTGTGAAACACATTCCTCAACCAATGCATTCGAATCACAGTTGTACGCAATGTCAAAGCTGCAATCATGGAAGGAAGCAGCGGCAGCTTCCGGCACAGCAACCAGACAAAGGACTAGCGGTTATCGCTTGAACCCGAAGGTAAGATGATGACGCTTAGGATGGGGATATGCGCGCACAGGGCAGCTTGGGTATCATTGGTATAGCTGTTTGCTGCAGAAGGCCATCCATTCAAGACGGCACGTCAAAGTTCTGCATCCAGGTCCCACTGGTCCTACCTCGCTATCCAAAGCGGCAGCGCTCCGGCGCCGGAGCCCGTCTGCACTGGGTGAAGATGCCTGGCAACCCCCCTTTGTCCGTGTCTTTCTCTCTTCTCCCTCTGTTCAAAAAGAAGCTTTGGCCCGCATTGTCGCAATCCGGACAAAGTCTGTCACTTCGAAAGGGACACAGCAAAGGAATCACAAAGGCCCTGCGCCCTCTGCATGGTGGGACAGGTGAACGCTGATCGACTCCTTTTCTCGACTCCATGCTGCACTGACCACTGCAAGCACACATAAATCACTACTGGGAACATGAAAGCGAGCCAGAAAGGCCCCATGCGAGAAGTCTGGGTCCTGCACGGAAGAGTTTGCATAAGCGACCCCTTCCGTGAACTTCGCACATGTCTCCTCCGGTCGGGGTGGAACGATGGGCCCTGGAACTTCCTTGGCAGAGGCTTTCAAAAACTTCAAGGTGGCACCGTGTGCGAGGAACCGCTTGAGACTGGCGTCTCTCGCCGCCGCACTGGTGTTAGGCCGAGGAATGCCTTCCTGCCGTGAACTCGAATCGTACTGCACCACAATACCCTCATCTGTTCAGGGCCTCTTCGGGTAGTTCCGGCACTTCTGCGGGCGATTCGGCCGCACCTTTCTTGAACTCGGAAAACTGCGTCACCTCAAAAGTGCAGAGCCTCCCCGATAAGCGCCAAGCGTGTCAAGAAGCCGCCGGCCTGAGCAGGGAGCCAGACAGTGGGCACATTAATTGCAGGATGAAGGAAGCAGGGACCGCGTGCCGCCTCAGAAGCTCCGACAGCCGGCACTGCAGAGGCGGAGGGCGGCAGCTGGGCACCTGCGGCTTCCTCGGATGCGCACGGACTTAGCATCAACAATACCGTGGCCCGACTTGTTCTGTACAGCACAAAATAGCTCTGCGCATGGAAGAAGCTGTGGCAGGAGAAATCCAATGTGCATTAAAATCATTAACGCATTAACAGCGGGGTTAATTTCAAGAGCAACAGACTTTCTGCATGGCCCCAGAGCCTCAGCACCTTGTGTCATCGTACCAGTGAGGCAACGGATGAGTAAGGAAAATACTCATTGCAAGCTTGCTTGCTTGCTTGCCTTTGGGTGCACCAGTGCTCCATGTAGATGGCAGCTCCAGTTTCGAGCATACTAGGCATACGCTGCTGTTGGACTCAGTCAAGAATGAGTTTTCATGATCTTTGAAGGAGTTTTACAGCTACAGGCAGGTCGCCTGCGCTCCACGCTTCAAGAGGCTTCAACCGGAACTTCAACCCAAGCGCGCTCCAGCACCCGTTATGGCCCTTGTCTCAAGTGAAAAGGCCACGACTCTGCTCACCGAGATTCGCTGGGACTTGCAGCAGTCGGCGCAGGGATGGCAGGAGTAAGGTGAGCAACTACCGGCCTAGGCACGTGCAACAAGCACTGCAACTCCATCTGAATCTTCAGGCATCCGCCTAGGGCGAGGAGACCACCCTGTCGAATGCATCTGAGTCTGAGATCGCGACTCTGCCAGTGGTTGTTGACTGACCTAAGCGCTTTGGGACTGGCCGATGGCGGGCCCCGGGGCGCATCTTTTCGGTGTCCCGCCCACTTCCGTGGCCCTGCTTCCAAGACAGACCTCGGCGTTAGGGGCAGAGGACGGGTCCTCCGTCCTCGAGTCCTCTCGGTCGCCCACCCGAATCCAAAGGTCGGAAAGGTGCCAAACTCCTCATCGAAGGGGTACAGCTCGCGAAGCGGATCCAGCGCCACCTGCGATATCTGCCACTCTTCATGCCTGAAGGGATCCTCAGAAACTCCCAGCAAAGAACACACCTCGGACTCCTCGGACCTCGTAGCACATGCAAGGACAAGCGAAGCCGTTCCCAGACTCACGGGAGCGCTTCTCCTGTGCTCCCAAAGAAACGCGCACAGCTAAAGCACTCCATGCTTACTCCATTTGTCCATCTTATATCCATTACATCGCATTTATGACACCTGGCAGTAGAATTGAACCATCCGCTCAAAGTCTGCATGGCGTACAGACAGACCCACCTCCATCCTGCAAAAGCTCTTACAAACGCATAGACTGTGTCCTGAACCCATTCTCGACCTACAGTCCCGTGTCTCTGACCACAAGGAGGCTTTACATGAACCCGCGACCCCCGTGCCTGGGTGACAACGGGACCGGCAAAGAGACAGAGACAGCAAGACAGGGAAGAAAGTCAAACAGCGACACACAACCAAACCCACAGACAGTCACACACGCCAGAAACAATCGACGCAACATATCCCAACAGTAAGCAAAGGTGGTGGTCTTCAAGTACGGAAGGCTGTGGGAACGCCGGGTCTCCGATACACACACATCATGTTCTGTGGATGCGACAGTAAAAAACTTTGTTTGCCTCCTGCATGGCTGAGTATATACACAGTAAAGGCATAAAAGCATTGCTGTAGTTGATGCTGCGCTGTGTCTCTTTAAGTATCTCCAAAAGAGGTGTCACTGCTCAAGGAGGGCTCTGCAGTCTGCCTGCTGGCAGCGTACTGCCCGCATACGCGGTATACAAAAGACCGAGACAACTTGGTCTGATGTCTCGCTGCTGTTTGATCAGGCGACGCGGAAGGCGAAGACACGATGGGGACTGGCTTGTATGCTTGTATGCAAGTCATGGTCTTCCTGCGTTGCTGTGTCGTGGTGCAGGAAGCATGCTGTTGGTTCACAATTTCCAGCGCTCAGCGCGAGGGTTACGGCAGGGTGGCAAGGTCGAAACCCAGCTGACATCGTAGAGAGGGCTGAAAACGACCCAGATCCCGCCACCCAGTTCGCCCAGAATGCCGCAGAATCCTGGTCGAGTTCCGAGACTTCGGGCCGGGGTTCTTTGGTGGATACGGCCCCTGGGAAACGAGACAGGGACAGCGGAAAGGGAGCGAAAAGAAACTGATTGAAGCATTGATTGATGGCACACATGGCGAAGCAGGCCATAGGGAGGCGTGATGCTTCGCATCAGCCACCAAGCATCATGCCACGCCTACGGAGCCTCTCCCGTGATAATACCGTGCAATAGACTAGACACGCAGCCCTCAGTTCGAACACGCTGCACAACCCTCGCCTACGACTCGAAGACTCATTGATTCTTCCATTCACCGTATGAAAAAGATCCAGGTCAACCACCGGAATTTTCCGGCGCAAAGAAACAGACAAGTTCCCTATCAATCTCGCGCCTCCCACCCCCCTGTCTACGCGTTGCGAAACTTCCAGAAAATCCTGATGCCGAGCGAGCATCGCGGGAAACCATGCACAGACATGATAAGCTCCAATATTCGTGGCTTCCAGACTTTGGTCGCGCTTGGTCTGCCCTGCCAGCCTAGTTCTGCTAGCTTTCGTGGCAGAATTTAACATCAATATTTAGAAACTTTTACTGCACTCAGACAAACCCGTACCCTTTGGCTGGGCAAATGTCCTTCTCCTTTGCGATAAGCAGTAGCCTCAACTTGTTCGAAGCAACACAGCCACTTTTGAGTTGACAGTCCTGCCTGCTAAACTCTGTAGGCATCGATGCCAGCGTCTTGTAGTCGCCCTGTGCTTGGCAGGGCCAAGCGAAAAATGACGCAGGAGGGTCCGGTGAATAGAGCTAGACGGAGAACTTCAAGACTTCAGGCATTAGCACGTGGCGGTGAACCTTCCCCATACATCATGCCCTCTGGCCACGGCCAAGAGCTTGATTGCGATGAATTGTAACTTGTAGTGCATCAGAATCTCACCTTGATTTCAGAGGCTTTCCGAGAGTCATGGCTCCAAAATGTTGTGCCCTTCGCGACGTCTTAACGGAATCGTCCTCTAGACTCTAAAACGTCGTGGACGCATATAGACATGTGGGCGGAGGGCCTCCGTCTCTTCTTGTTGTGCTTGCTCATCACACGACTCTTCTTCTCCCAGGCTTAAGAGGCTTGTCAAGCCCCCCGGGCATTAAGCCAGCCCGCCTTTCGCGGGCTTCGAGTAACCGAAGGAAACTGTGAGTTTAAGTGTTTCATGACTAATGGCCTCTACCCATGTGGAAAGTCCCTCGATTACTGTTCGTGATAACAAAGTTAGATATCCTAGCGTAGGTTTTGTCGATCTCACTGCTTCTGCAACTTCATGCTTCGCCAGGGCGGGTACTGCACGGTAAAGCATGAGGGCCAGCTCACGCACAAAAGCAATGTAATGGGACATGACTACAAACATGTTCAGTGCAGTGGCGAGCCATATGCTCACTCGGCCTTCGTAGCAAGCGACCAAAATGCCCATGCTTTCGATAGAGTCATGCCATAACGACTCTTTGGTTTCCGTGGTCTAAGAATCTTGTCAGTCTACTGGGAACTCGACAACCACTCAGGCACATAAAGCTTCAGGGTTTGACATAAGACATAAGATAAACAGCTGCAAGGATTGCAAAGCAGCCAAGTACTCCCGATTCGGGTGAAGCAACGGGGACAGCCAGAGACAACGCAAAGCAATGTATGTACGAATCAAACTTCATCATACTCCTATTTCCAATACATGCACTTGCGATACGGAGACAGCCATGGGAGAGAGAGGAGCGAAGATACCGGACAAGAAACATCCAAACACGAGGCGAAGTGTGCACAGCCGCTCTGCTCTACGCCAGCCTGTTCGAAAACTGTTCCATTTCGAAGGACAACGATGCTGTCCATCCTTGGCTTGGCTCACTTGTATACATTGTGGTCCATGCAGATATCGGGTACCCAGGCGGACCAAGGACAGAGAGGGTCTGCGTTGCCAGGACCACCGTCCTGTCTTTGGCCTTCCGAACCTTTTCAAAAACAACAAATGCAAACAAAATGCTTCTCACACAGGCACACTCTGGAGCGCTGCGGCTTCCCCGGGCAGGCACCAAGTTGGAGAGAACCCGCTTCGCTCTTTCGAGCTCCATGGAAGCAAACGGTTCATCCAGCAACAAGATTTCGGCCTGCCAGCTCCAATCCGCCGAAGATGTGCTGAGATGCTCAAGGCCACCTCGACATACAGCGCACGCGCCAGCTGGAGAGCGCCTAGTGCAGCAGCACCTAGGCGGGACGGGAGCTGAGGCTTTCCCAACGCATGCAACCAGAAGTGCAACGACTGGGGTTTCTGGCTCAATGCTTCCGGAAAGCTGCTGTCGCCGAATTCCAAAGCGGGGAGGTCCTCTGCTCGCCGACACGCAGCGAAGCAACATGCAGCCGCTGCTCCGCCGCTTGTTTCATAATCATTCACACAAAAGGTAGATAACGGATAGGTTGGACATGTGTTAGCGCTCAAACCAGTTTGGCCAAAATGGTGGAAACACGGCAATGCTAAACTTTACGCTCGCGCAGACTGTCAAGTGGAGACTTTTTGAATGGCGATTTTCGGCAGGCGTCGTGTCACGTGTCTCCGGCACATCAGCCCTTAAAAAGGTGGCGCTGGCGAGAGGCGTGCGCATCCACCGATTTGGCGGTGTGGGCAGGAGGGAAAAGAGTCTAGCACCGGCTCTTGTCCGGTGAGCCATGCATGGCCGTGGCATTCAATAATTGATCGGGCTAAGTTGCCTCACAAACTACTTGGCTTCTGAGCGGGTAAATAGCCATGCAAGGCAACACTCCCAATATCTCAAAACTACCGCACCAGACCAACTCCCAGACAAAAATCGCAGATGAATCCCTGTTCGACATCGATGACCATCGGGAATTCCTGCTCCGTGAGATCACGGAATAAGTGGCGATGGGGCGGATGAATGGCCTTTTTCAAAAAGTGCATCGATAGCACCCGATCACCCGAGCGGCATGGAGATAAGGGTCCACTTACTTTGCCTCAACAGAACCCATCGCATCTGCCGAGTCGGCAGTCTTTCTCCTGTGCTTTCTGTCGTTCTGTCTGCGAGAGATCTCAGAGACATTCAAGCCAGGAACGTGAGATATCGAACAACGACGTCGGATGAAGTCTAAACCGCAGACTTCGTCACCGATGTGAGAGCAGTGGGAAAAAGCGTGGCCCGCCAGGCATGCATGGATCTTGTTTGAACTCGTCCTGCCGTCCTCTCGCTTCGCAGCTTGTTTTGCCACGCTGTATGAAGTTTAATGGCACAGTGCTGGTGGCCTTCCTGGCGTCGTTCTTGCAGGAGGAAGGCCCTACTCCCACTTCTCCTGAGACGATAAACAGTTTCAGCGCCCGGGTGCTGAACGCCAGGCGGATTCTCCAACCGGCTTGGGATGCCGTCGCCTTCGCCTGGAGAAAATCCGAGCCGACCGAGCATCATGCAGCAATGCCGTGGCAGGTCTTGGTCGTTTTGGTCAGGCTTAGCCTGACGTGGGGCTGGGCGCTTGTTGCTGGCCTACTGGCTCGTAGCTTCGGAGGAATGCTGCGAAAACGGGGAGGCGACCGGTGCCAGGAAGCATCCCAGAAGATGTTGAGGGCACCCTCGACTTCGCTCTGTTTTGCATCGAAGAGCCCAAGACCCGCTTCCGAGCTGCCCAGCACCAGTCGGTTTAGATAGACCAACCTGACCTGCTTCGTGTCATAAGCCTTTGCTTCGGTTAGCTCGAGCCACACATACGGCTTTGGCCTTTCTCGGAGCAGTCTCTGCGCGCGAGGTTTCGACAGCTGTGCCATGCATTCAAGTATCCAGTCAGCGCCCAGTGGAGGAAAGCCTTTCCTAGAGCTTCCTTCTTTGCGTGCCGTGCCGGAGGCGCAACCTGGTGTATGCGGGTCACTGAAGACGCGGAGATGCTCCGCAGAAGGGGAAGATGGCTTTCTTGCCGTAGCACTTCGAGAGCGGCGGGTCCCGTCACGACAAGGCCAACCAACGAATCATCGCTTGCCTCAGCGACAGCAGTCATGGCCGCGAGGTTGCGATCACCGACAAGTTTCTCGATTGCACTTTCTGCGGTATGTTGTTTCCTACCTCCTCGCAATCAACCTGAGAACATCCGGACTGGAGGAACTTCCATTACAGGCGCGATGCTGATCACGAGAATCAGCCTCGAGGATGGCATATCGCCATTGATACGGCTACCACGCCGCCCGGAGGTAGTTTGAATCCTTCTGGGACGTCCGTCGTGGCTGTTGGGTTCGCAAGCCTGTCTTCAGACGCCCAGGTGCCGAATCCGTCGGTAAGATCGGTGTCTTCGAGTGGTCAACAGGTGCTCACCGTCCGGAAAACGTAGTGATAACGATGGCAGACCCTCTTCAAGATGCGGCCTGGCAGCACGGGGGTCAAGTCGTACGGCGAAGTGGCCACCTCAGCAGTGACGATGCTGCAGTTCAGTCGATCATCACCAAACTCAAAGCGGGAGTCGTACCACCGAGTTCAAGCTCGCCGAATTCACGGACGAAGCAGCCCTCAAAGGGCACAGGGCAATCGACAGCTTGGAGCAGAGCTGAACTAGGGCACCGGCATGGCCAACCAGCAGGTTCGAGTCAGTTCGAGGCCCGTGCGCGCGGCGCTCGAGATTTGGAACCCCAGATGACTGAATCCTATCCACCTCGGGCCCCGCATGCCCCGCACAGTAAGCTCGGTCGGAGTGGACGACGACCCCAGCACAGTCATGAATTTTCTGGGACATCTCGAGCTGCTTTTGTATCTGAGCAGAAGACAGCCTGGGACGAGATGGCTGGACCGTCTTCGGGGAAAAGGTGGGATCCCAAGATCCTTGTCTGCTCTAGGCTCGCGGCCAGCAATCCACCGTCGACCAACAGCGAGGCATGAGCCGACATCGCGATTTCGACGAGGGCGTCTTTCTGGAGTATCGCAGTATCGCTTCAAATCTCAGGTAAAGTTTTTCGCCGTCTCTCGGAAGCGCGCTGGAACCACAGAGGCCACCCCCAGCACTCAGTGTAAGCGGCGGTGCTCTTAAGCCATGAGGCTGGCAGAGGTTGCACCTGGCACGTCGGAGTGGGGTGGCAAGTTGATGATAAAAAACGTTTCTGTCCGTGATATTCACGGAGAACCGCTGAGAGGAAGGATCCAAGAAAAGATTGGTTGGCAAGAAGCGGCTCGGTCCGGCGATCGTTCGTTCCACAAAGTTGCAGCCTCTTCTATCAGCGATTTGGGGATCGGTACTTCAGCTTTTGAGCACGTGCAACAGCCTAACTGCCTCAAAAGGTCTGGAGCTTGGGGGTCCCCACGAAGAGAAGCGAAGGAGGGACCTGGAGTCCCAAAGCAATGCAACCTTCAATCAAAAGCTCCGAAAGCCTTTCGCTGTGCATAAGAGGAACATCCTGTGGGCAGAGGGAATCAATGGCCTCCTCGGTGAACAGTCTCTTGATATACCCTAAGGCCTTTGCCTGAGTGGCAATCGGGGGACCTCCGCAGGCCGTCCCTCGGCACGCAGGGCCGCCAGCACGGACACGGTTGACAAGCCCCAAAATTACAAATGATCCGGCGGAAGCCAATCCGCAGCCGGGTCCAGGAGCCAAGCGGAGGGATGGGCCGCCATGAGGCCCGAAATGCGGCAGCGGGAACAAAGCATTGGCAGGAGCTGCAACGCCAGCCTGTGTGAGGTTCAAAAAAGAATGGGTCCTGGTCCCTGGTATACGACATGCAAAAGAGAGGGATCAAGTTTGGGTGGCGAGGCAGCTCAGCGGGCGCTTCGGCCTGCGAGGTAGGCGTGCAATGTCGTGGAGGTCCAGGGGGGCCGAGTTCAGATGCACAGACTGGCCCAGAAACCATCGCCATCCCAAATCGTCAGCTCTGCCCGAGGACCGCCGGCAGCAGCGGGCCGAGGAAGAGAGGCAGGTTTGGCCTTTTCGGGAGCCAGGTTTGCGAGGCGGGCGCTTGGGTTGATCGCCCGTCAGCTTTGTAGCCGCTGGTGTAGGGATACAAGCAGGAGCGAGAGTAGGTCCAAAGACCCCTCGACCTGGACCCGTATTTTTCGACGTAATCGGTGAACCTGAAAAGTGGTGGTGCTGCTCTGAACTCGCTGAGGGTCCTTGGCAGCGGCGAGGTTGGATTCATCCGGCGAAACCCGGTCTGCATTACCGAGACCATGATCCAGTTCGCTTGTCCGAAAAAGTGGGCCGTGGCAGCGTTGGTGCGAGGAGGGGCCGCAAAGGCCCGGTTAGTCCTGGACGCATGAAGGCTGGCGATGGGCAGGAAAAGCGCAATCGCCTCGGCAACGGCAGTTGTCGGAGCCCTCACCTCCTTTTCCAACGCCTGCTGACGGGTTGTCACTCGAGCTGCTGGGCCAGCTTCGGCATCACAAAGGGAGGTAGCTGTCCACATCTTCGCCTGTAGGCCACCTCGATCACGGGCGCCGAAGGGCAAAGCCAGCGATAGCCCTCCTTCTCGTCAGCACCGGGGCACACAACACCCAGGCCTCCTTGTCTCGAGGGACTCCATCCACAGGAGCCTTGACCACGCAAGGCAAAAGAAGGCCAGAGAAGGCGAAGGCCACATCGTCGAGCTGTCTCTACGTCGATGGGAAGGGCTGGCCGGCGGCCGGAGAGTCTCGCCTCGCCTTCGGTGGCCCACCCGCGGCACACACTGAAAGACTCGTCCGACTGCAGCCTTGAACTCGCCAAAAGTGAAAGTTTCCGCAACCACTTAGATTCTGCTACGGATTGAGATCTCAGGCGTGGTCGATCGGGCGAGCGGAGGCATCGATGACCTACTCTACACAAGCAGAGCCGAGATCTACAGGTACCGCATGGCCGATCAACAACTTGGCGAAGCATGCGCGGACAATGCCGAACCACGGGCGACAATCCAAGAGGCTCGAGATCACATCGAGTTTTGGTTCAAGCATGTTCAAGCCCAGGAACACAAAAAGGAACATGTGCCACAGCTGGAGATCGAAGTAACATGATTGCCGTTCGGAAGGCCACGAGCTCCGAGCCTTGTGGCATTATCATTCAGAAGGCCATGGGCTCCGAACCTTGTGGGGTTAGTGCAAGAGGCCATGAGCTCCGAACCTTGTGGCTTTGTATCACTCACAAAAAAAATTGGACTCCGAACCTTGTGGGATTATTGCAGAAGGCCATGGGCTCCGAACCTTGTGGGGTTAGTGCAAGAGGCCATGAGCTCCGAACCTTGTGGCTTTGTATCACTCACAAAAAAAATTGGACTCCGAACCTTGTGGGATTATTGCAGAAGGCCATGGGCTCCGAACCTTGTGGGGTTAGTGCAAGAGGCCATGAGCTCCGAACTTTGTGGCTTTGTATCACTCACAAAAAAAATTGGACTCCGAACCTTGTGGGATTATTGCAGAAGGCCATGGGCTCCGAACCTTGTGGGGTTAGTGCAAGAGGCCATGAGCTCCGAACCTTGTGGCTTTGTATCACTCACAAAAAAAATCGGACTCCGAACCTTGTGGGATTATTGCAGAAGGCCATGGGCTCCGAACCTTGTGGGGTTAGTGCAAGAGGCCATGAGCTCCGAACCTTGTGGCTTTGTATCACTCACAAAAAAATTGGACTCCGAACCTTGTGGGATTATTGCAGAAGGCCATGGGCTCCGAACCTTGTGGGGTTAGTGCAAGAGGCCATGAGCTCCGAACCTTGTGGCTTCGTATCACTCACAAAAAAATTGGACTCCGAACCTTGTGGGATTATTGCAGAAGGCCATGGGCTCCGAAGCTTGTGGGAATATCGTTCAGAAGGCCATGGGCTCCAACCTTGTGGGATCATTATTCAGAAAGGGCACGGCCTCCGAACTTATGAGATTATCACTCAGAAGGACATGGGCTCCGAACCCTGTGATTGGGATTTTCATTCAAACGGCCATGGGCTCCGAACCTTGTGGGGTTAGTGCAAGAGGCCATGAGCTCCGAACCTTGTGGCTTTGTATCACTCACAAAAAAATTGGACTCCGAACCTTGTGGGATTATTGCAGAAGGCCATGGGCTCCGAAGCTTGTGGGAATATCGTTCAGAAGGCCATGGGCTCCAACCTTGTGGGATCATTATTCAGAAGGGCACGGCCTCCGAACTTATGAGATTATCACTCAGAAGGACATGGGCTCCGAACCCTGTGATTGGGATTTTCATTCAAACGGCCATGGGCTCCGAACCTTGTGGGACTATCATTCTCAAGGGCTGCGGCCGATGGGCAACGGTATGTATGAACATGTACGATCGGCTGGTAAAGATCCAATTGCGTCAATCGATCGAAGCATGAAGAGCTAAGAGTTGTCATGTCGTACACCTCCTACATGATCAGGCATGAGGAGGACAGCGGTCCACTTGAGGCTGAGGATGTTGAAAGCCCAAAGCAATGAAAGCTGCCCATTGCCGGCCGCGTAGGAAAGCGAATTGCTGACTCGACTGACAGTAGCTTGTCGGTGTGTTATAGCATGTCGAAGGAGAGTACGTGCTTCACTCTACACTGATGCCTGCAAACAGCAGGGTTGGTGAAACTGCAGAGTCAAGAGTCGATGAGACATATGAGACTCGCCACCACTGGCGTGGCTTAGTTAAGCTCGCACAGAGAGCGACAGGCCCAGCTGTTTGAGATGCGCAAGACAACTGCGAGTCCTCTGACAAGGTGGACATCACCAGGACTTGTTCATACCTGCCCGGGCGGAGCGAAGTGGAGCGAAACTCGCAGTTCGAGCGCTCAGGACTGCAGCCTGTGAGCATCCCACGTAGAACCGAAAACGACATTGTCGCGGATGCTGCTTCCACTCAAGACCGCCGGCTGTTGCGGAGCATAAGCGCACCTTGCGGACAGGAGTGTCTGAAAAAGCGCCCCCTGACAGACAGGCACAGCTCGCTGCCTGCCAGACAGGAGGATGCCTGTCTCTTCCAAGTCTTCTCCCCAAAGCTCGGCTTGGCAGCCTGCCAGGAAGCTGCTCAATCCGCGAAGGCACTTCAAAGCACAATGCTCAGAGCATGGTAGCTTGTGCTCATGAGCACCTCCCACCAGGCCCGCCAAAAGAGTTGACCTGGGCTTCACACAACATCACCACTCGCTGTTTGGCGCTCGAAGAGAAAGCACTCTTTACCTGATGCCGGTGTTGGCTAAAACTGAGAAAGCCGCTTGCCAGAGCCTGCGGCTCCCACTAATGCGATGTGAGAACCTGTGGCCACATTGACATAACTCACGAGTTCTGCAAGAGTTCGATCCTGCCTCGCTTGACTTGCAGCGACAGCACCTGGAAGAGTGACTTCGGCCTGATCTCCCTCTGCCCCTAAATTCTCCCCTTTGAGCCTTCACATCAAAGCCCGCCGATCCATGCCTCTGCGAAAGTTGCAGCTCTTAGCAGCCGAAAACTCTGCCTCCATGGAAATACAGTAAAACACACCGGGCAGCCGGGCGTACTGCGCTTCGCTCTCTCAGCCACCGAGGCATCGTCTGTCACTGAATCCACGAGGCTCAGGCCGTTCCCAGCCTATCGGCGAAGAGAGGCAGGTCGCAGTTACAGACCAGACGACAAGCATCCTCACCGTCGCCTTCACACTGGCCGTGAGCCCTGTAGTTTTCCACGGGTTCAAGGTGCAGACGGCCACGCAACATGGCAACATGTGGACTCTTGCGAAGATGTGATGCCCATGCAAGCTCAGAATGCAGTGCTGCAGCTACTGACAGACTGGCCAGTTTTGGACTCCAGGTCTCCTTCCATTGGGGGGCTCACCGGCAGGCTTGGGAGGTGATGGAAGAGACGCAGCCTGGCGTTGCATGCTGAACGACTTGGAGCACTTATGTCACTGTTGAATTTTTTGGGCATTGCCAGTGGCGCGCCTCTTTGGGTCCTTCGAGATTCGGCCAGAAGAAACGCATGCCCTCAACAGCCTCAGCACAACACCATTGATCTGAAGCTTTTCACACACACGAAGACCTGGGATCTGGCCACAGCAAACCGTGATGTCTTATATGAGGCCGGCGTGCCCTTGCACTCTGTAAAGGGTTGTCATGACGTGACCGTGGCAGCGCATGGCAGCGTGCAAGGGGCCTGCTTTGGCACCGGCCGTGGAGACTTCACAGAGCCGCCAAGAGCAGCGGCCTGTCGCAGGCCCAGCGCAGGCCCAGCTGCAGCTCGGCACCACTGGCGCTGGGTTCCAGACAGCTGTCGGCCCGGCAGTCAGAAGGATGCGCAGGACCTGCTGCAACAAGCATGAAGAAGCTTCGAGAAGGCGTGTCAGTATGAATTATGTCGAGAAGTGCTTGTTTTGAGAATAACCGGGCAAGCACCTGCTGCAGCTGCTGCGCCAGCAGCCTGCCGACAGACTGCCGACAGATCACCACTGGCTCGACAGATGGGATGCCTGCAAGCTGCCAAGGCTTGGAAGCACTCCCACAGGGTTGGTGGTCTGACGACCTGAGAGTCTTCGAGAAGAGTCATGCAGGCTGCAAGCACATACGTCAGACTTTGCAGACTCGGCTTCATTTGGAAGCTCGGCCGGCTCGGCCCCGAGCCAGCCAGTGCAAGGCCAAGGAAGCAAGGCAGGCCCAAATTGTGGCTGCCGTGCGCACTGCGAGCCTCGGCATCGGGCTTCGCTGTCCTTTTCTTTTGGGCGTCGCTTCGTCTGGGCCCCTGAGCTTCGGGCAGCGTGGCATTGGATCGGGAGGCCCGGTCCTGCAATCTCTGCTCCTCCACGCGGAGCCGGCCCAGGCGCTGAAAGACCGCAGCCTCCCAGCCGAAGCACTTCACCTAACGCGCGAGGCCGCGAGGCCGCGAGGCCGCGAGGCGACAGGTCTCTCGTCTTGGTCTCGTTCCTGCGCTGTCTTAGTCTCTCCCTTCACTTAGACGGCGGCGGTGGCAGAAGCACACTGCAGGTCAGAAAGGAAAGCGCAAGACAGCTCCTCGATAGCCGGGACAAAGAAGCGAACACTAAGTTGGAACACTGCTGTCAGGCTTCTCCTCTCTCCGACACCGCAGCTTTCCCACCGCCTGAACCCACTTCGGCACACGGCGCTTCAAGATGACCTGCCAAGCAGACCCCGCCTTCCCCCCCTGCAAGAACACTGCGACACTACGAGTACTTACAACCACACAGGCCACGCACGCTGGGACCACTCGGCTTCTTAATATAGGAACAAAATGGAGAGAACCAAACAGTCTGCGGCAGTCTACTTTACAATTGCACGATTGGTTCACCAAACCCGAAGCCATCTCTCAAACCCTTCCGGGAGGAAAAAGGAAGCGCACATCTTAGGTGTTGATTGGTGGTTGAACAGATGACATGCCGCAACCATCCAGCCTCCACCACTGTGGCCAGCACAATTAAGCTTGCACCGGCTGTAGCAGCAACGCTTGTGGCAGCCACGAGGAGGGCCACGGACAACGCACTGCCCAAGACGGGTGCCACAAGTCGAAGCCTGAAAGCTCGACTTCTTTGCCAACCGCACAGCTGAGCTCGGGCTGAACCCGCTCTCTCAAAGGCTGTGCTGCTCTCAGCTCTCTCTTTCACGGCCTGCAGCGCTTGGTGAGCGCAGCGACCACTCGGCTTGCCGCAGCCAGCGGCAGGGGCCCTCCGCAAACCAGAGCCCGGTGAAAGAGCCGAGAGCGGAGAGCCAAGGCCACCTCCGAAAGAAACGCACACGAAGCGAAAGGGCGAAACGCTGAGTCTCTCCCATCTCTCCCACAAAGACCTTCAAAGTCACATCTCGACTCTCTATGTCTGTCCATGTTTCGCCCTTGCCAGTGACTTGCCAGTTTCGCCGCCTGCTGGGAGAGCCTCCGGCGCCTGTACTCAGGACGACCGCTGCTCGGACATGGCTAACAACCACTTTAATTAACCACTTCGTAGCTTGGCCTGTGCCGGGCAAGCTGCTCTACACAGCGACCGAAGAGGAACAGTGCGAAGGGGACCTCGGAACTTCGGCAGTGATGGGACGCAGTCAAATCGAAGAGCTCGCTTCTGTCGGCCGGAGGCTTGGTCCGGGACTGCCACGACGGCATAATCTTCACCCAGCCATGGCAGTGTGCCCCCAAGCTCAAGCTCTTCCAAGACCTTGAAAGAAAACGAAAATGGAGAACTTAGAGACCAGCATTGTAGTGGCTCAGAGGCACCGACAACGCCCAGGACAAAAACCACGACGGCTTGCATTAACACTGAGACCGTCTCGAGGACGACCACGACTCGAAGCCTTCCAAACGAGCAATGCTTGGGAATGGGATCATCGAAGCAAATCCTCAGTCATTGCAGTCAACGCTCACGCCTCTGGCAACATAGTGATGCCAACATGCGCATCGAAAAGCCCTCGCCATCGCCCTTGCCCTGCCCAAGCAGCTTGAGGTTTGAATCCTGCAGCAAGTTGTCTCAGGAGGTCGAGCCTCGCGAGTGTCGTACACCACTGCAGCCCGGACGCTGTCGGCGATTGTGTTTCCCTGGCAGGATTTGAGGACAAGGGCCAAGCTTGTGCGCTGGAACTGAGTTGGACTTTCGTCCCGGTCCCCCACCTCTCTGGCCCGCTCCTCAAACTGCGTCGCCGCCTTCGCAAGCGCACGGAGGGTCTGCGGGGCGAAGTCCCGCGGAGCCTGTCACAGCACAAACGGACACGACCCTGCAACTGGCACTTGACAAGCCCCGGGGTCCATCTTCATGATTTTTGGCTCCCGCTTGGCTGTCTGGCGACTGCATTGCAGGTGACAACAGGCTAGGGGGTGACTGGTCATATCTGGACAGTTCCTACCAGTCGGGGAGGTCGACAACTCGCTCTCCATATGCTTTACAGAACCCAACGAATCCACCCCTCCACCCCTTCCCCATAACACAACAACCGAAGCATGCTCGGAGCGATTCTCGACACAGCTGTGAAGGCGCAAGCAGTACAAAGTTGAAGCACAAAATTGCACCAAGTTGTATGAGCAGCCGATTCTTCCCAAGAGCAACAGCGGATCCAACACTAAGATGATGACCCACCCGAAGTTCACCATCTGCCTCATGATTGAACTTCATCTTGAAGGTCTTGCGTCGTGCACCTGGTGGGGTGCTAAGAGATGCAGTAAACGCCATCAACTCGTAGCTGACAATGCGTTCGCCAACTGAAGCCATGTACAAGATCTGCACGCTAAAGAGCGAGGCTCTCTGATGTGGGCCGAACCTTGTGCATGTTCGCGAGCTGCAGAGACGTCAGGAATGCAACATTGGGCAACAAATTCGGGGCTTGCAATCTGTGGCGTGTACGAGGAAAACCGATGCACTGCGGCTCTCGTCGTGCCCGATGAGATGCACACGGTTCTTGAACATCCACTCTATGTGTGATGCAGTGTCTTTCGGGCCACTGCAGGGCATGTGCAGCCGGAAAAGCCTCACTCCAACCTGCAGATATGCGAGGAACAGTCCGAGGAAGGACAAGCTGCGCTAAGTAGCCGAACTTTTGCTCTGCAGCCCTACGAAATTTCGGAACGGCGTCACAGAACACCTACCAGGAAATCAAGTCCCATAGCCCACTCAGTCGAGAGTCGATTTAAAATTGTTGCTATGGCACCGGCGACTGCAGGGCGTCCGGGAATAGCGGTCTAAAGTCTATGCTCCTTCTAGCCCCAGGGCTGACCGTACCCCGGCTGACCCCACATGGGCTGCTGCTGAACATACGGCATGCCACACCCTCCACAGCCACAACCGCCACATGCGGCATGGCCACCCTGCCTGAAGTTGGTTCCTGGTGCAAGTGACCATGCGCTTTCACCTGTCCTTTCATTGTAGTAGTATGGCTGGCCTTGCTGGTCATAATATAGAACCCACTCTGCAGGCATCTGAAACATTGCCTGAGCATTTGCACCATACATCGACTGGGGTTGCTGAGTGTAAGGAGCACATGGTTGCTGCCATCCCTGCTGCATTGCATGCTGTGGCGCAGCCTGTGGCATCGCCATTGTCTGCTGCTGATGCTGCATGGCCATAGCATGTTGCTGCATAGCTTGCTGTTGCATTGCAACTTGCATCATCTGCTGCTGCATGGCCTGATGAGCCGCAATCGCATATGCAGTATAGGTGTCCTGCATTTGTTGAACATACGCCTGCCACGCAGCATACTCCTCTGCTTCTCGGCGCAATCTCTCTTGGTTTTGGCCTGAAGCCGGGACAGGAGATGAACCCATCGCTAAGACCCTAAGAGCCAACGAATGGTGGAAACGGCTGTATCTATAGCTGCCAGGTGCATGGAAAATTGCTCGATTGGTGTGCAATGAACAACAACACCTGAGGCAGATTCTGCCGAGCTGCGAATAGCCATCTGGATAGCCTCCTGGTCCACCTTTCGTTGCTTCTGTTGCTCGGCTGACTGGCCATTGACGTAAAAATCCAAGAGCTGCCGGAGCTCAAGCTTTGCGGGTTCCATGGCCACCGACGGCCCCGCCAGCTCCAAGCCTCGAAGCTGCCCCCGGGCACCCGGGCCCCCTAAACCCGAAGGCGGGTAGGCAACCCCGAAAGCATGAAAAACTTCGACCGACGAGGCACCAAGCTTGGAGATGCTGCAGTCCAAGGCGAACTTCGAAGCGAGCATGTCCAGATCCTCCTGGAAGCTCACAGGCCAGTGCGTGGCATCTGGCGGCAGCTCCAAAGTGTCAAAGGTTGCGGGGTCGACCTCGATGATCGCCCCGTTTTTGAACTTCTCGCCGAAGGTGGCGACCACGGCATCCTCATCCTCCAAGCCCAGCAGGCTCGTTCCGTCGATGGCGGTGATGGTGCAACCCGCCTGAAGATGCGGTTGGCCGGGCTCGTCCTCGACTTCGTCCACGTGCATCCCCCAACATGTCGCAGTCAGTTCAACACCAGCTCCAACCTCGGGGTCCACCACCAAATACGGCTTGCCATCGTCCTTTCCATCCTTTCCCTTCCCATCCTTTCCATCTTTGCCTTTGCCTTTGCCCTTGGCCTTTCCTTCTTTTCCTTTGCTTTCGGGCATGGTGGCTTCAGGTGCCGGTTTGACGGGCTCCGGCTCAGGGGGCGGCGCATCGTCCTCCTGTGAGACCGCACATCGAAGGCATCGAGCTTTGGTGGGCGTTCTTAAGCCCAATCCCTGAAACGAATTCCCATACGCGTTCTGCAGCGTTTAGGGGCCGGGTGTAGGCTGGATAGCCTTAAGGCTCTAAGGACTTAGATTTCAAGGCTTTGTGGCATGTTACCGTGTCTTTGTCGCGATGGGACTGCTGTGAGCACTCATGTCACCTGAGCGCCGGCTCATGTCCCTGCCAGCAACGAAGGTAAGACTCTTTAGTTAAGTTCGAGCTATTTACAGGTGGCTCTAGCGAGTGAGACAGGGGTTCCGGAACCTGCCGCAAACCGTTTCAACGAAATCACAAAACTTGGTTGTTTCTGAGGTGGTCATCCACAGGCAAAGTCCCACACACGAAATTCCCTGCATGAGAAACAACTGACTGCTTTCGACTCTGGCAGAGGCTTCCGTGGTCTGCAGGCAAACACTGGCAGTCGCTTTGCTTGCATCTTGGTATCTTCTGCAGGGGTACGTGTTGCTTGTAGCTTACTGCTCCAACACACAACGTGCTCTAATGAGATGACAAGCCCATGGGAACCTCATAATGCAAGGCAATCACCCCGATCGGTCCTCTCGATTTCGGCCTGCATACTTCGGTCCAGTGTTCAAGAGTCCCGCCCAGCTTTTCTTCTTCTTCTTTTGTGTCGGAGCTTCCTCTGCCACTTTCGACTCGTTCTCAGTCTTCGGAGCTGGGGCATAGAAGGATCTGCCATGCTCTTCAGACGGGACAACGAGCTCGTTCATTAGGTCTTCTGCCTGCTGAACCTTCTCTTCATCGACACCGGTCATCTTTGCCAGGATGATGGCCTGCACCAGTGCGGTAGGGTCTCTGCTTTGCATGGCTGCCTGCAGCTTCTTGGAAGCCGCCAACGACTCCAGCACGGTCTCAGCTTCGTCGATGATGCTTTTTTCGATGCCCGCCTGAGGATGTGTCTTATGACAGATGTGCTCATCTACAAACCAAACATATTGTTTCTGCCCGGTAATGCCTCCTTGGCTTGAGAAATCACGCTTTTGAGCACGACCTCATCACTGGCCTTGATCGCATCCTCAAGTGCCTGGGTGATTTCGCGTGCCTTCTTCCCAGCAACAGAAACGTTCCGCTCCGCTTTTTGAGCCCGTGCCAACTTCTGTGGCGCAGGATTCTTCGTGGCAAAGTCCTGCCGCAAGGCGTTCGCCTTTGCCGCCACGTCGGCAGGCAGCGCTGTCACGTTGTAACCTCTGAAAGCGCGCACGTCCGCTTTCCCAACCTGGTGGAAGCCCAGCCAGTCTCGCAGCAGCGAGCTCTCGGTCTGCAGCCATGTCGGAATGTTGCCTGTCGGGTTAAGCCGAGTAGCAATGAATCATGACGAAACCAGGGCATATAAATAGAAATACAACAATAGACAAGTATATATGGTACTGACCCAAACCCCACACCCGGGCTGCCCAGGTATCGCATCTAGCATAAAGTCTAGCCTTTGACGGTGTTCAGGGTTCGCGGCCACAAGCGACATTTCCATTGCGACCAAGAGACTCCTGCCCTGATTTGCAACCCTTCTGACATTGAAACAGGCATTTATAGTTCTACATTTTCAAACTTCCATAATTTCCGAAAAGGTCTCCCTTATGCTTTCGAGAACCGTGTGTACTAGGTCTGCCCGTTGTTGAAATGCTTCAAATATCCGAAAATTCCAAAAAATCCAAAATTGCTAACAATGCAGAACAATTAGAAAAGTCTTTTCCAATATTTCCAACAAGCTTCACCTTGCGTTTTCCAAGATCCTGCACACTAGGTCTGGCTTGAAACTGTTGGAACTATGGAAAAATTTGCAACATTGAATATTGTGGAATGCTTGAAAAAATTCGGAATTATTGAAAACTGTAGACCTTTTGGATGTTTTGATATTTTGGAAATTGTGGATTTGTTTTAAATTGTGGACCACTGTACGGCATAAGCCTTTTGGAAATGGTAGAAAATTCGTGAATTTAAGATGTTGAAGTTTCAAAGGTTCCAAAAACCCCGGCCCCCATGTTTTGGATTATTGTGTGTACTAGGTCCTGGCACTTTGGAAATATTTTTTTGCCTCCTGCATGGCTGAGTACACGAAGCAGGGATACAAGTCCATAGTTGTGAACTCCGGAAATATTGGACATTGTTAATCTTTTGGAATTGTTGGAACTTTCTGAGCCTTTGGAGGGTCACAAAGGCGCTGCACTTTGGAAGTCTCCATGTCAGCAGAAAGTTCGGGCCGAGATCTTGAGGCTTCAACAGTAACAGTTCGGAAACCAAGGCAAACACCCTGTCGTTGTAGCTCTTCTGGCAGTGTCGTATTTATCCAGTACTTGCTAGTTACTGTCAACTCCAAACACTTTTTGAACCTTCTGGATTCTGGACTCACACGCTTTCTGTGGTAATGGACGAAAGCCTACAGTATGCAAGCTGCGTTTTGGCTGTTAGCGCTAGTGTATATCTGCGGCAGCAGTATATATGCCAAGCAGTGTTCATAAACATCTAGGTTTTTTTTGCTTCGGGGCTCCGTTGGATTTGCCCGGCGCATCTAGTTGCTACCGCGAGTGTATATCTGCGGCAATGCCAGTACATATGTTGTATTTGTTTCATGACATCGGGAAACGCATGAATAGTAGGCAACCGATCCTTAAATGCTTAGATACTGTTTTCCAAATGTAGTGGATGATATGAAAACAACATGCCTCAAATCAAATATTGAACCAAGACGTGTCCAACTGCAAACGTGATGGGTTGACCAGATTTTTATCACATGACGCTTATACACTTTCACGCGTTCTTGAGTACAAGATGTGGTCCACGTGGCTAGATGACTGTGAATAAATCACTACAGTACTGATAGCCGGGTAGATAGGCATATGAGACGTCGTAGCTAAGCCTTAGATGAATTTTCGAGACTGCCGGTGATTTAACCGAGACAAAAAGCAACAACGTATTCTATGATGAGACAGCATTGTCTCTGCATGCACCAGGATCGTACAGGCTTTATTGCATCCAGCATGCTACGTGGTCCCAGTCGAGTCTCAAGGCCCAGTTTCAAGCCGTGCTAAGCATGAGGCACGCGGGACCCGCCTTGGGGACTTCAAAGGAACAAAGCACCCGAAAGCTCTAGGAGCCCTGCCTGCAGATCGAGGAGACTACAAGTAGCTAGTTTTCACTGGTCAATTATTGCCATCTTACGATTAGATCTAAATAGGCAATACACACTAATTGCTCTATTGAGCAATGCTTCAATATTATCGGAAGCTGAACACTGGCCAAGAATTACCGCAACCGTATAATTAAATCTCATTGAACGGGCGATACATACTAGCTTTAACACTCATTTGCAACTTGAAACAGTTTTTGAGCAATATGTCAACATCAGCCAGCTTCTGAGTGTGAAAGCATGGAACATCTTACGATTCTGTTAACATAACATACTTTAACGAGTTTGTTGAGTACTTAGAAGCTCAGACAAGGAATGCGCATTGATTCGCCACGAGCGTAAACACACTCCTGTCTTAGATGGTAAGTCGACGATACTGAAGGTTCTTGTACTTATCATAGATTATCTAACTCGTGACTGTAAACGGTCATGAGGTAGCAGACGACGATCTACACAAACAATGAACTAGGGTGTTTGAAACGGATGGAAGATACCGTGTAAATACTGAGCGGCAAACACTGTAAATTCTTTTTCGATGGCTCGATTCTCGGTTCATTGCTTCACATCCGCCGAAGTAAGTACATGTTTCATCGACCCTGAAATCCAAACAGACAACATAATTCATGAGTTTATAGCATGCGAAACAGAAAAGTTAACGAAGCTTTCACTGGTGTTTACAATTTTCCGGCTCCTCATGAGCACGTGCAGTTAACATACGTGCTCACCGCATCGGTCTAGTAGGCGAATATCGGTGATGATACAGATGGTGAGGACAGTTTCGGTGAGGAAAGCAGCAATTCGTACATACATCAAGCTGTGACGTGACACCGAAATGCTGGCTTTGTCACAGGAAGAAATAGGTGAATAAGTAGAAAAACTTTGGACCATTATCCTGAAATCAAGGATTCCGTGGACCAGGAAGGAAACAGGCAAGAGTACGCTAAAGGCCTGCTCTGTCTCTCATCGTCCTTACATGGACTTAAACAGGTCCACATGGAGGGCTTGAGCGTAAGGAGTTGATCCACCCCTCATCAATCAAGAACTTGGAAGCTGGTCTTTGTTTTGCATCCGGTACAACATGGCATGACAGCTCCGCGCATGCCCTCAATCAGAAAGATGGAAGATCAGGGAGGGAGGATGGAAATGATGGAAGCTGCAGCATCTCAAAATCGCAGAACATCTGTTGAATGCTAGTATGATGGATATGAAAGCTGAAAGCTGCTAGATCTTTCCGATACCTGTTGGCAGAACATGAAACAGCTCGCTCGTTTATTGACTGTACCTGACCAGACAGTAAGTGCCACTATGCCTTCGGCTCGACGAGAACAATGAGAGGGGCAACTGCCCAAATGCATACATCCAATGACTGCATAGAGCGAAAATCGCGCGATTCCCCACAGGGAAAATACTCATCTACAGCCTGATGGGGTTAACGATAAACATCTCTTGCCAAGCTCTCGTGACCCTAGTACTGTTCAAACAACACTCACGCACACGACACCTTCTTTGGTTGCAAACGAGCAGGACCTGACCACCGCAGAAAAAAGACAAGCTCGTTCTTGCCCGGAAAGCAGGACGTACCAGCACTCTGATAACACTTCCTCAGTTCTCTATCTCATCGGAATACCCGGAATTTGTAAGCGAGTCTCTTTTCTCCGAATGCGCGATCTGTTGATATAGAACCTGCTGGTCCTAGTAAGACTAGGAAATAGATTCTGTGCTGTGTGTCCTGGACGTCCCGATCCACGAATGAAACCTGCAGGCTCTGGTATTTTGGGCTGCCGTTGCTTGCGAGTGTCATGGTCCGGAAATGGGCCAGCGTCTAAAACGTCCAAGATGACAACCACAAACACACATCGACAGGGCTGGAAAAACCCAATCCGCGCATCTGCACATCATATGGCCCTTATGGTCAGATTTGGCGGAAGAGTTTGTATTTCTCAGGCCCTGCTGACGCTTTCTCATTTCATGTTGGACACTTCGGGTGTGGTTCCATTATTTCCGCTTATGAAACTGCGAGGAGCATCGGCAAGGTTCGAACACAACCAACATCACAAACTGTGGCTGATGTAGGTATGCCGGTGCTTCTTCCGCGCTGATGGTCTTTCGCACATCGCGGTTTGGAGTATTGATTTGCTCTTGTTGATGGCAACGTTTCGCAATCTAGCCTGGACCCCACCTCCAGAGATCCGGCATGCGAGGCGGGTGTGTTGCGCGAGTTTACATGTGTGACACAGGATAATGTGCTTTGGAACCTCTGCATGTCTCCTCACATGTTTGGAAATGTTCAAACAACTTTATGGTGCAGTCGGCGCGAGAGAGCTGGAGCCTGCGGCGTTTAAGGTTGTAGTCAGATGCCACTCCACTGAACTCTACCCCGATGCCAGCTGGATGAGTTGCCAAGCTTGTGGATGTGAGTTGACTTAGTTCACTCCAATCCGGAACCAGCTCTCAAGCTCAAACTTACCGAGTTGATTGTTGTGTCATCTTTCTGCATCCATCGTTCCTGCAAGCTCTCTTAGGCCGGCGCCGATCACGACACAAAGTCGTCTGGCACGTGTCAAGGCCACGTTGAGACGACGCCAGTCGGCCACAAATCCGACATCTCCACGACGGTTCGCTCGGACGAGGCTGAAGATAATGACCTCCCTCTCGCTCCCTTGGAATGCATCCACGGTCGACACTTGGACCGCCAACTGCGCATTGTACGGCAGTGACCTTTGTATCAGCTTCACCTGATGCAAGGATTGCAACATGCAGCCACCCCGGTGCCACCTCCTTAAGATTACTCCTCCTGCCTGTGCCCCATACGGAGAAATGACGCCAATGCTTTCTGGTCGAACGTCATGTTGCATGACCTGCGCAGGGGGTACCGCTTTGTGATTTTTTCTGGTCTTTGGTGACACTGCAGCTAAAACACTTTGAAATGCGCGGCTGGGCTTCGGCCTGCTCCACGACCCAAGCCACGCAGTCTGCTTCCGCTTCATTCTTTTTGGAAGCTCCCCCAGAGCTCTCAATGGCATCGACATGCAGAAAAACCAGGGGAGACCGGAAAGGAAGCCCGGGCGGCAGCTGCCGGTCCGCATCCGTTACCGCGTTCTTCAACTCGCCGCGGTAAAAGCGCCAGGAAGGGAAGGCGCTAATGGAGGGGTGCATTCGGTACTGATCCGTCAGGAGCGTGTACTCCATGCCCATCGACAGCAGTCCTTGTTGGCAGGGATGCTCCAGCACATCAAGACAGAGAGAGGGAGAGAGGGAGAGGGGAGAAACGCAAAGAGTGCGAGGAAACTGCTCAAGATCCGTCACAAGTTTAACACATCTAAGTTTAGAAGAGGACGCAGGACGAGGATCGGTCGAACATGGAGATGTCCAGGCCCTTGGCCTGGGCCTCCTGGCTGAGGACCGTCGCGGGGAGCTGGCACTGGTCGCCCACCATCACCGCCTGGACGGCCCCCTTGCCGAGAGGCAGAATCACGGCAGGCTCGATGACCTGAGCCGCCTCGTCAATGACGATGAAAGGGAAGGTCTTGCTGTCCAACGGGCCTCATTGCACAACTTCCCCAACACTCAGATGTAGCCTAGCACTGGAGCCCGGATGTATCATCCAAGCAGCCCATGCCGCAGCCGATGCATGTTGCACAGATCACATCCACGTTTTCAAAGACGGCTTTCATGCCCTTGTCCCCGCGCCGCAGGCCGCACTCCTGGAGCCTCGTCTCTAGCGAATACGGCTCTTTCGCAGAGCAAAGCCCCATTCGCAGCACCTTGACACCCAAAGCGTGGAGCTGCTGTGCAACATTGTCGCAACCCTTGTTGCTGAAGGCGGAGGCGAGTACTGGCCCACGGTTGCTCTTCAACCAACCGCAGATGATGGCCACTGCCGTGGTCGTCTTCCCTGTGCCTGGTGGACCTTGAACCAAAGTGAATCGTCGCCTCACGGGACAGATAGACTCTGCCTGGATCCCGCTAGAAATTCGACTTTGCCTACTTGAAAAATGCATATGCTGGAACACTTCCTGTTGCCCATCTGACTGCGAGCAGTTCAGGCGTGCCTTTGCTCCAGGACCATGTCCCGAGCGTTCTGCTGTGACTCGTTCAAGTCCTTTTCGCTGTGGATGTCACTGTGTGCTGTGTACTTCTCGGCCCCGATGTCCTTTTCGCGTGCGTGACGGCTGATGTCGGCTTTCGCATTGGGTGCCGCACGAGTCAAGGGGTCCCACTTTGCTGCAGCTGCGGAAGATTCGTGGATATCCGCATAAAGAGCATCTGCCAGTGGAGCTCCGGGCAGAAGGAGCCCGCACAAATTCGCATTGTAGTTCAGCTTTTGGATTGAATCCCGAGGGTTGGCAGCTTGGTCTACGCCAAGACACCTCTGCAACTCATCCAGCATCTTGTCAATGCGTTTGTTGGCGATAATATTCGGACCAAGGTCCACCCTGTACAAGTCATTACCACTTCCGGTTGAAGGCAATCGCTCGTATGGTGTGCTGAGGATGATGGTGTTGTCACGGATGCTCTCGACTTCTGCCGATATGGTTTTCTTCGGATCTTCCAAATCTACGCCTCCGTCCGTGGTGCTTAGCAGCACAGCTCGGCCAAATTTGATTTCAGAGAGATATGGCATCCTCCAACCATCTGGCCACAGAGTCACCCGACCGTAAACGGCGTCGAACTCACCGCAAAGTCCAGCGATGCCGATGCCTTCGTCTTGCAGCTGCCGAGTGCTGCGCTTCGCCACTTTCTCAAGCACCGCCTGCCGCTCAGCCTCGTACTCGAGCTCAAGACTCCTCGGCGACTCGCTTGCGGCTCTTGCGATGTTGCGCTTGCGATTGCGATTGCACCCGCAGAGACTACGTCGGCTGGTTTTAGGAGTCAGGGCTTGAAGCTTGGTCGCGTCAGCTGCTTAAGCTTGAGCAGAACAAGAGCTTGGCGCTTGGCGACCCCAGACACTTTCAAACTTCAGCATTTGTCGGCTGCATTTCTTGGCAATGATTGTTGTACCCGACTGCTGAGGCCACAATGACCAGCCGGCATGGACTCTGGGGGTTGGGGTCGATCGGACGGTGATTTCCTTAGTTACCTTGGTTCCTTGGACGGCAAGTTCATTCGTCACGAGGCAGATTTGATACTACTGCTGGGCTGTCTGGTGCCCGCTTTGTTTGCGATCACCTGTTGATCTATCGGCTGGACATTTTGCCAATTCGCAGCTGTGACTAGATGACTAAACTTGCCGTTCCTGCACCGGCTGGTCGATGATTTTCCGCGCGCTTGTTCGTGGCCCGCTGCTTTGCAACAATGGCTGGAAACTGGCATGCTAATCTGCACACTCACGTCTCCAGCCTGGAAGTGTAGTTGTGAATCTGGATCTTCAACGGGCAGTGTTGTTTTGCGGTACATACCACCGCAGTTGATGGCAGTTGCACGACAAACCCAGCAACTCGCTTCTGTACTTCCCAGCGATGAGTGCTCATCTTACAATGCCGTTTAAGCTATGGGGCTTCATTTGTCGTCAGTGGTGCAACCAAATCTAAACTGACAGCCGTTGGGTTGAGCGGTTCAAGCAGAGGCTGAAGGATCACAGGCTCTGACGTTCGCGAGGGCGACGGAGTGCTTGCCTAACGGTATTTCAATGAAGATGAAGAGGTGCATGAACTTTCGCTTGAAAACTCGTGATTGCTGCTTCCTGCTGTTGATTGGCTTCGTGGAGATTGAAAATCGCAAGTCTCTTGACTCTCGTCTCCACGAAGATCGCTGACGAATCCAAGAAACAGGAAAGCAATGCAGCGGCAGTGCCAACACCGAGCACACATAGCATACATCAGTTAAGTCAAGGACAGGGGGACGCACGTCAAGCACTTGACCCTCTCCGACCGACCGCCAACGGGACAGAACCGCGGACAACAGACTCAGTGAATGCAAAACGTGCGAGGCCAAGGCTCGAAGTAAAGTGCCGGACATAGGCATCGAGGGATGTCCGCCACTCCTGCGTGATGCCACCGGCTTGCTCGACGGTTCTCCATCCGTAAGGAGTCAAGACAAACTTCGGTCCAGAGTCACCTGCTTCGTCCTGTGCCACCTCTGCAGGCCCAGCTCCAGAGACGCGAGTCGGATGGGGAACTAAACTGCCGGCCTCTGCTATCCACTTGAACCCGCCGGACAAGGGAGGAGCCCCACCACTTCCGTCGAAGGAAATCGAAAATGTCGCCTCCTTGGCATAGACGTGAGGATACAGGGGCTCGCCGGAAAGCTCTTTGCCAAAGGTGAAGGCATCTCCCGGGATCTCTCTACCATTCTTAAAGTAGAGAATGGCTCGCCTCTCGAGATCGACGCAGCAGGTGATGGCATCGTCTTTACCGAATGTTTGGCCAAACTTCTCGAAGTTGCCTGCATGGGACTTCGTAGCTGTGCCACCAAATCCCCAAGAGAACCGATCGGTTCCCAAGGCCAATTTCGCATCCGCAGTAGACCAACCAATGCGCAAGTTTCCCCCCGTCTCGTTCCACACGCAGAAGGCCCACAAGCCTTCTCCACCAACGCCACAATCAGCACGGACACCAGCCCATTGCGTTCCGCTGTCCGTCTTCCGCCTGGCACGCTCTCGCGTGCCACTGCCAGTGCTGCCCATGAGAAGCCTTGGACCAGACAAAGACAAGCAAGAACCCCAATCCCCACCAAAAAGCCCAATATCAAAATAAACCAGACCCTCCCAAGACGAGCCTAAAGTATGCTATGTTCCAATAAAATCTCGAGATCATCAGAGCGACAACCCGTTCTCGCAGTCGTTCACGTTAAGCCTCAAGCTCTCCCCGGGCTGCAAAGCCTCGCCAGGCCCTCGCGCCTTTGCAGGCGCCGGAGCGGCATCTTTGTGGCCCTTTCCGTAGCCTTTCGAAGCTTGGCCCTGGCCCTTTCCAGCATCTCTGTCTCTATCCTTCCCCTTTCCTCCGCCTCCGCGCTTTCCTTCTTTGCCTCCGTCTCGCCAGTTGTCTTCACTCCAGCCTCCGCCTCCGCCTTTCCAGCCAGAGTTCCAACCACTCCACCCCCAGCCAGACATCTGAGAGCGAACAGGGCTCTTCGAAGGTCCGCGAGGCTCTCTGCCTTTGAGCCGCTGCAATGCGTGCGGGCAGACTTGGCAGACTCGGCAGACTGCTGGCTGCATCACCGAAACCTCTCATATTTGAACATACTAGCTTTTGGGTCGCCATGCATCAGTTCAGTGAGACGGGTAAGGGAGAAGAGGAGACGCTTTCCTACAGAAAGAATCCCCCTCTGGGCACTTGGTGGCAATCCTCCGAGCGGATAACACTGCTGTTCGTTGCACTGCTAGCTGCTAGCGTATGGTCGGAAGTGATGTTTGCCTCTCTGCCTCGCGCATTCAAAGGTTTCGGAGACAACTCTTGCCACCATGGGGATGCATTCATTATCGTGCAATGTAGCAAATGTAGCAAAGTAACCTCAGCCGTACTGGGCCAAAACCGTCTGTATGGTGGACACCGCGCTGCTGCAAGTGTGCAGTGCACTTAGGAGGAGCTCCACTTGCGACAGCATATCCGAGAGCGGAGTGGTGCCGCGGCTCGTGTTCGCAGCCGAACGCATCTTATCGACCAGCTGAAGGAAGGTCTGCTTCCGGGATCCTACTGCTGCCAGGAGTCCGGACAACCTTCGAGTGCTGGCATGGTGCGCGACATTCCCGTGCGGAGAAGCCGCAGATCTCAGGGCATCAGACCCTCTGTCAAGGATCTCCTGTCGCAAGTCTGCAGCATCGCCAGATGTGTTGGAGCTGGCAGATTGTAGCTTCCGGCTATAAAGATCCTTCAGCATGACCTGAATGCTGGTGAGCTCTGATGTGAAGAAATTCTCCATTTCCATCAGAAGAGACTCGAAGTCCTTTCTGTCCGAGAGGAGGGACGATGCAGTCTCTGAGGACTCGGCGATCATTGCGAAAAGCCACTCCAGAGTACCCAGCTCCGACACGATAGTACGGAAAGAGCTCTCAAGAGTCGAGAAGAGCTCATAAGGGAATTCAATTCCTTTGGGTGCTGGCTCCTCCGCTGCACTTGGCAGGAGTCTCTTCAAATCATCCAGGTGTCTGAGAACGAGGGCCTCCTCATTGGAAGATCCATCCACATTGGACGGTTCTGCCTTATCCTTCTTCCCACTGTTCAAGCCCATGACCCTGGAGAGCAACCCCATCGACTTTTTCAGAGTGTGCTGCAGCTGGTACTGTGAAAGGCTTCGCGCGCTTGAGAACAGCACCAGATCCAAAATCAACATAATGGCTCCTCCGAGAACTGCTGCCTTCACGCTCGTGGCCAAGGAAAGTTCGGCCCCGACATCAATTGCGGAATTGTATTCTCGGAACACGCCAGTCGGAGGCACCAAGGCATAAACTCCAATCGCTAGAACAGGCAGCGCAACTCCAGCGTTGGCCTTTGAATGAAGAATCTGGAAAGTCAGAACAAAAGCGAAGATCCAAAGCCAGACAGCGAACAAGGACGCGTGAAACTCAGACTTCACTGCAAGGACTTGGCCCAAAGAGTGGCCTAACACGGTGCCGACGACCACTGCATTCAGACGTCTTGTGATCAAGCCAAGGGAGAACCCCGCTCCTGTTGTAGTGGAAACAACGGTGGCGACAGTTGCTGCGGCCCCAGACGTATATGCATTCAGCATGCGCTCCAATCCAACCCAGCCAAACAAGAATGCTAGTACCATCGCCAGCGTACTTCGAAGCACAAATCGCCGATGCGATGGGTAGTTTCCTTGGCTTCTCGACATGGTTGGCGGCAGGATATTTAAGCATCATGAATGTGGCATGCCGTTGCTACGACGCAACAACTGCCATAACTTGCACAGACACGCGTCGAGTTTGAGGGAGCTCTATTCTGACACAAAGCTCCGATAAGAACCTCGCATCAGCTGCCACAGTCAACAGTGCACGACTTTTGCTGGAACTCCTCTGCTACTCGATTTGAATCGTACTTCTTCACTCTGTTCTTACTTCTCTGGCTCCTAGATTCTCCTCCGTGTGTGAGAACACAACATAGACTTTGCCCGCAGAACTTGGTGTCATGGGGAGGGATCTTCGTGCCTGATGACCCGACCTCTCATGCCATGCTGCTTCCTATCGATGACATGCACAAGTTTGGACAACGGCCCCATCATGTCATTTCGTAGCATAGCAAAGCCCCGAACACTTGTTTGCTTGAACCCGGATTGGCGGAGGTGGGTTTAAGATCCCTTCCAGCCTGTAGGATTTCCTGCAAAGCAGACCCCGGGCAAAAAAAACTGTTGCCGACACCAGAAACAGCCGCAAAAACAGGAGGAGGAAGCCAACACTCGACGGCAGCAAGCTGCAAAGCAGCACCCACTCTGCTGGCGCCGGCTGCTCATGTGAACGTATGTTCCGGTGCCGCAGGCGCAAGTCAAAGGCATCCAGGGTTTCTATAAAAACCCTCTATGCGTGGTCCCTGGTCCCGAACAGCCCCTTACGGCTGCAGGAGCGGAGCGGGCGCCGCGGCGGGGCGGCCGCCGCACTGCATTGCGCTGGAGCGCCGGACGTTGCAAAGACGACTTGCCCGGCAGGCCTACAATGGCCTGCAACGGCCTACAGCCTACAGGCTCGCATGGGCCAAGGGGGACCGGAGAGAGGCCAGGAGGCCAAGGAGAGTCCGGCAGCGGCACGCGTGGTGCCACAGTCTGAGGGCGCGGGCCGCACAGGCTGGGCAGTGCAGGCGGTCTCGGCACTGCATAGGAGCTCGCATGGGACTTTCTGTGGTACCACGCTCTTTATGCTGCTCTGCTCTGTCTTTCTGCTCATGCGGGGGGTCTAGAGTCCAGAGAAAGGCCCTCTCTGTCCCTCTACTCGTCAACCGCGCAGAGCACAGCAATTTCGACGTGCCCCTACGGATCTGTGAGGTTCTTGGCTGTGGGCGTATATATGGGGCAAGGCGAGGTTCCGAACTTGCACAGCTTACTCGGCTTGTTGTACAGAAGCGCGTTTCAGCTACCCTGTACAGCCGTATCCCCATGCAGCATGCGAAACCTGGGTTGGCCAGAACTGTGCAAAGCGCGTCATACAGAAAGTGTAGACCAGCCAGACGTTGAACAAACCAGTTCAAGCAACATGCAAGCCAGGGCAAGAAGTGAACACATGCAACACTCTTGGACGGTTGCTTGAACCCGCGCTGCCTCAGCGGATTCCAGCTTGTTTTGAACGGCATCGTCTCCAGCACTTTAAGACGAGAGATCGTTCCTTTAGCAAGTTCCGTCGCATTCAATGAATGGGGCTTGAGTCGATGAGACATGTCCCTGCCTGATGCAATCGTGCACAATGCCAAGGCAAAGCTCAAGCTTTCTCCGCTGAGATTGTTCTGCGCGGCAACCTTGGGAAATTCGGTCTCCAAGGCCTGCATGGCCTGCAGAGGTGAGTTTATGTGCTCTGCTGTCTCCGTGCAAAAGTATTACTCACCACAGGCCTCTTCGAAATCCTCGATCGCAGCTTTGTCCACTGGATTTCGTGGGTTCGGGATGGCCTTTGCTGCCGCGAAGCAGATATCCTGGATGGAAGGTAACACGTCCTCGAGCCGCGTCTCAGAAGACGGCGACAGCCTCGGCGGGTGTCATTGGCTGCGGCGCTACATCGCTACATCTGCCAGACTCTACTCCACTACCTCTCGTGCCAAGGGTCTTCTTGGAAAGGCGATTCGCCATCGAGGCGTGCTGCAAGAGAGCGGCCAAGAGTTCCGTATACGCCTCGAGCTTCCTCCGTCGCCGGCTGCGTGACACCAAGATGCCAAAGTCCTGGCACAGCTCTGACTTGCTCTACAGCATGAAGAGACCAGGAGGCAAAAGGAGCTGCACATCATCTGATCTCCTCGAACCAGGCATGGGATAAGTGGCCCTCTATATCAGACAGCCAGAGCCGGGTCCCATCGATGGAAGACCTGGCATCCCGTTTCTTCAGAACAAGAGGACATCAAAAGCACAGCTCACAGAGCTTCCCTGCAGTCCAAATGGCTCGATGGCGAGGTTTACTTCATCTTTCGTGGCAAACGGCAGCCCCTCGATCACAGCGCTCACTGTCTCGGCAAGCTCAGTAGTAAGATCTGTAGCCTTCACCAGGGCTTCGTTGGGGCATGGCAGGATCTGGCTGACAATCGCGATGAACGCGCCAACACATGTCATAATGGACTGGGTCCATGGATCGCTGGGATCGTTACTGAATGCCGGCGAGTTTGGATTCACAAATGCCATTGCCCAGTAGAGCACATAGATGAGTGCCTTCCCCAAGAACAAGGACTGAAGAGTCCAAAATTAGTGTACTTAGGGTGTTTTGTCACTAACAGAAAAGGCCGGGTCGCGTAGACACGCACGCATGTGCCGAAGCCAATATAGAGAAAGATCCCAGTGAAGAGCGCCAGGTCCACCAAGATGATAAGAGACCTCACAGAGCCGTCTGTGACGGCCGTCCAGTGGACATTCAAAAAGCATTCGCGCAAAAACTCCGCCGTGGTGTTGGTCTCCACAAAGCGTTCTCCATTGCCCAAGTTGCACAAGGGCAGCCAGTCCGAGGCATAGATGACGTTGCCCATTGAAACGTCGAGTACCTCCTCTCGTGTGGCATACGCACCGCCATTCAGGTAGGTACCAAATGCGCGGTTGATCAAGAGCACGTTTCCCAGTGCAAGACCAGTGCCAATGACCCCCTCCACCGAATAGCGCACTGAGGCACCCAGAGAAGGCCCAAGCAGAAAGCAAAAGTTCTGCATCGCCATGTTGTAGCTGGCCATATATTTGCTACTCCTTGTGCCCCAGCTGTTGAAAAACTCGGCGACGGGATACAAGATGACAGGGCCACCAATCACCAACATCCAGAAAGCTAGCCGGAATGCCAGCCACCAATGAGAACGGTATCGACGCCGCGCTCGCAGGGCTGTCTTTTTGAACTTTTGGTGCTCATTCAAGTTTTCCAAAACCTTGATCATAGCGTTCGCCCAGTCTGGATTCGTTGGCGTGCGCAAATCAAGCCTGTCCACATCCTCGTCCACAGAC